TAGGCTCCTTCCTAGTCTGGATCCAGCGATCACTCACACTCCCATAGTTACTGTCCTTTGTTCCAGTTTCTTTCAGGCATCTCTTTGGGGGTGGAGAGGCTATCTTTTGAGCCAGCTGAAGACAAAATGGAGGAGTTTCCAGGGCCTTCTATAGTCTCTCTCTTGTGGGTGGAAACCCCTTTGTTCTCCTGTGTAAAATCCCCTCAACAAGATGGAGTTTGCAGTCACCTGGGCAAGTCACATGTCTATGAATGATTCAGCTTTTTGCAGGCCGACGCCATTGTTTATATGTTAGTTTGAACGTTCCCAGGAAAGCTCAGATGTGGATTGGCATCTCCCAAAGTCGATTGTCAGATAAGTGTTTCTTGATTGGGCAATTACTGAGCATAGGCCTTTCTCAAGAAGCTGACCAAATGCTTCACTGAGGCTACTTAGAATCAAACAAGTACATAGCCAATATTCATAACTGCGAATACAAAAATGATACACACATACAGACAACATAATCATAACCAGCAATCTACAACCTTCCCATAGACACCCCATTTGGCCTCCTCTGTACAAGACCTGGTGCAACCATAGGACCCTGGTTGCAACAATAATCTATACGGTCACAGTTTATGTCAATAACGCCACAATGTTTCATTATCTCAAAGGCCAATTCCCAGAGAGACATAAGGGACAGGTTACTGAGGGCAGGGGTTTGTTCAATAGCTATCAATGGTTGCAGGGAGAACAAAATATGAAAAGGAATGTGGGTACCTAAAGGAATCTAGTGCAGACTTATCAGCTCTGGAGCCCTAAAGACTCAGCTATAGAGAGACTGTCAAATACTCCTAGTAGGGAACAAACAGTGAGTAACATTACCATCCTCCATTAGGTACACCTCTACCCCGATATAGCGCGGTCCTCGGGAGACAAAAAATCTCACTGCGTTATAGGTGAGACCACTTTATATCGAACTTGCTTTTGCCCCCCCTGTTCCTTGTTCCCTGACTGCCCCCTCCAGAGACCCCCGTCCCTAATCACCCCCAGGACTCCACCCCCTACCCAACCCCCCTGCTCCCTGTCCCGACTGCTCCGACCCCTATCCACACACCCCGCCCCCTGACAGGCACTCACTGGCAGCGGCAGGAAGCGGAGCAACTTGGCCCCAGTCCGCTCCACTCTGCCACCTCCCAGCCACGGAGGGCGTCCTTTCCCCAACCTCCCCGCACTCACCGGCAGCAGGAAGCGGAGCGACGCAGCCCCAGCCTGCTCCGCTTTCCTTGCCCTGGCCCCAGCCGTGTCGCTGGGGAGCGGGGGGGGGTGGGGAAAGGTCCCGCACTCACCTGCAGCGGGAAGCGGAGTGCAGCGGGCTGGGGCAGGGCTGCTCCGCTTCCGCCATTGCCGGTGAGTGTGGGGGGATCCCTTCCCCCAAGCCCCCACCCCCGAGCGACACGGCTGGGGCTGGGGCTGGGGCCGGGGCGAGGGAAGTGGAGCGGGCTGCTCCCAGCCCCCCGCTAATCCCCCGGACCACTCTGGGACTGCAGGGCCCCCAAAAGTGCCCCCTCCACAGCTCCTGCCTCCCAGACCCGGGGGGGGGGGAGCCCCTGACTGCCCGAGACCCTCTGCCCCTTATCCAATCCCTCGACCTCGGCCCTGGCCCCCTTAACACGCTGCTCAAAGCGGCGTGTCGGAGCTTTACCACATTGAATGTGAACCCACGTTATATCGGGTCGCGTTGTATCGGGGTAGAGGTGTATTAATGAAGGTAACACGCTGTGCCCAAGAAGCCAAGACACTCATATAGATGCTGGGGGAGCAGTGACTCTACTGCATTCTCTCCCTGGCCCCAAACACCACAGAGACCAGTGGGTTGGGGTTCTTTGGCTTTAGGGAGCTGAGGGAGAAGCTCTTGGTAGATTTCCAAGAATCCTCACCCCCTGGCAATGGGTATCCAAAGCTCTGCACAGCTTTTGGGACATCCATAGGTTTAAGGGATAAAACCCCTTGCTAGATGCAGAGAGAGCAAACCCTGCCCCGCATGACAGAATGATTCTGAGAAAATGCGGGGAGTGCATCTTCTGTTTCCTATCATGAGCCATGGTATGGAGGCCAAGCTTCCCTCTACCAAATAAAACAAGCGCTCCAAAGACACTAGATTACATTGTTCAGACATGGTTTATTTCTTTATTAACTTTATTTAAATCATTTTAGGCTTTGCAATAAAACAAGGAACTAGCAAGCCATAGACATTTCCCCGTCCGTTTCTTTAGGAAGTCTGGCATGGCCAGGACCATCTTTTGAACCGTGTTACTGAAACTATACAAATATTTCACACATGACTTGAATAAAGATTGTAACAGGACTTTGGTATCTTATGTTTATCTAAGAGACCTGAGCAAATCCATATACAAAACAGTGAATACCCTGGACTAAACATCAAGTATCTTAATTTAAATTATAACATTGGATAAATGCTTAAAAAAAAACTCCTCATACCACCAAGTTGAGGATGATACAAGCAGAAAAGAGGTTGCCTTTCCCCAAACAGGTCACATTCAGGTTTTAACATTTTCTCCTTCCATGTGAACATACTGCTCATGAAACATGCTGCATTGAGAGCTCCAGAATTTGTAGTTCTCTATTTAATCAAAGAACAGGTACAAGTACAGCCATAGGTGCAAGCTTTCCCTTAATGCCCCACCAATGTGTCTCCCTCCAGACTGGACAGGCCATCTCTAGAAGAAAGAGTAGTTCTACTTCCATGCCTGCTAAATCCTTGACCTCTTTGCTCAGACTCTGAACAAGGGGGAGCCAATTATTCTTATTTTTGTGATGTGGACACCTGTCCACCAGGAACTAGACTGACATGCCTGACTTACTTCACATAATTCAGATGGTAACTACAGTAGAACCCTGTTTATCTGACCCTCCATTATCTGGCTCTCCTATTAAGTGAACAACCAGCCCACACAGTTCCAGAAGAGGGAGATCTCTCCTGTGACCACTAGATGGTGCTGCAGCCTCATACTTACCCATTCTCTGGATTATCTGAGTTTTCCGATCTGGCCCCAGGTCCCAATTAAATCAGAAAAATGGGGTTCTGCTGTACTTTGTCACTGTCAATCTGGGCTGGATTGTTACTGTTATTCCTTCTACACCAAATGTCACTATGTCAAATTATAAAACCACCCCTTCAATTTGTGCCTATACGGTAGCAGTTGCCTGTGATATAAACTAAAATACACACACACGCTAGATTGTACTACAGATCACACATCACCATTTATGCAGCACTCACTAGTTGGGGCTGATAGTCACAATGTACTACAGTGTTGACAGAATAATTTAAAAACATTAGTACATTGTGACTATCTGTGGTCTGAAAATTCTATTGTAATGCTGTGATGTTGCACATTGAACATGCTATTCTACAGATGACCATCACCCCAGTATCTGGCTCAAGTAAAAAAATACACCTCCAGGGGAAAAAATCAGAACGATACACTATCTTACATTACAAATATACTGGTGAAATTCAGAAGGATGGGAGAGTATAGAATACCCAGCAGAATGGATAAAATAAAGAAGATATGTAGAAATTGATATTTCAATGTCAGATGCTGATCACAACCCCAGTGCAATAAGGGGTTAAAGCTGCTGTAAGTCTGCTTACTGTTAAGACACTTACATGTAAGTAGCAGCAACTGGATTAAACAAAGTAGGTTGAGATTTGAACAACACCAAAAACTTTTTCCTTCTCTGTCTCGTTACAGGCTCAAGTTTTAAATATAGATCCACCTGATTTATAATATTACAAAACAAATCTTATATGAAGGATATTTTCCCTTGAACGCTTGCTGCTATTACTGATAGGCTGGGTTTGGCACGTGTTGTGAAAGCTGCTTGAGCTAGATGACAGGTTAACAGGGAAATCCAAGCAAATTATATCACCTGATCTGATAAGATCGTACCATAATCATACTGTATACCCCACTAAACACACACCACTCCTTCCTCTACTAATGTTTTTGAAGCAGTGGAGAAGGGTACTCTATCATAGGGACAAAGGAGAAGCACTGTTCTAGATTCACGAATTTACATTTTAAAACCGTTGTCAGAAGAGTTTGCAGGAACATATTTACATGCAGTGTTACCTCATCTGGGTTCAAGATTAAAATACTGCAAAGTGAGGCACAGATGCAAATTAAGAAATACACCTCTACCCCGATATAACACAAATTCGAATATAACTCGGTAAAGCAGTGCTCCGGGGGTGCGGGGCTGCGCACTCCGGCAGATCAAAGCAAGTTCGATATAACGCGGTTTCACTTATAATGCGGTAAGATTTTTTGGTTCCCGAGGACAGTGTTATATCGAGTTAGAGGTGTAATTAAACTTAACTAAAGCACAGTAAAACATATAGCAGCCATTTAAAAAAAGCCAGTTTTACCCAATGGTCACAACAACATGAGTCAAACAAGTTCTTTATAGTACAGTAACTCCCCATTTAACGTTGTCCCACTTAACGTTGTTTCAATGTTATGTCCCTGCTCAATTAGGGAACATGCTCATTTAAAGTTGTGCAATGCTCCCTTATAACGTCGTTTGGCTACCTGCTTGTAAGATTCTGTGGAAGAGCAGCGACTTTACAAGGGAGCATTGCACAAGTTCCACTTCTCCGCCTCCTCTCCCTCCCTCCCTCCCAGCGCTTCCCCCACCGCCAAACAGCTGTTTGGAGGTGCTTAGGACTTTCTGGGAGGGAAGGGGAAAAGGGGGTGGGCTTGGAGTGGAGCGGGGACAGGAAGAGGCGGGCCTGGAGCATTCCCGGCAAAATCCGAGCCTCTTCTCCAGGGAAGCTGCTGCTGCAAAGGTGCTTCCCAGCCAGGGTACTTCCCAACCACAGTACAGTACTGTACAGTATACAGTACAATACCTTTTGTCTGACCCAAAAAAATTTCCTTGGCACCTAACCCCCGCATTTACATTAAATCTTATGGGACAATTGGATTCGTTTAACATTGTTTCACTTAAAGTTGCATTTTTCAGGAAAATAACTACAACGTTAAGTGAGGAGTTACTGTATATCCCTTTAAGAAGCTGCATGAATTTCTAAGAGGACCTTTTTTCAGGGTGCAATGCAAAAAGGTATTTACATTATAGGTTATAACCTACATATTGTATTGCTAAATTACAGTCTATTCAAGTGTAAATTTATAACTTCACACAAAGTAGGAAGCCAGAAAAAAAAATCCTAGTAGACTTCAGAAGAAATACATAAAACTTCCCAACAAGAAGTGAGATGGGGGAGTGGGAAAAAGTCAAGATGCTCTCTGAAGAGAGATTAGAAATCTGCATCCAGAGTGAAAACATTGTCTGTTGTTTCTGCCATAACTGCAAAGCGCTGATACTCTGAAACCCGCTTCTCAAAGAAATTTGTTTTTCCTTCCAGTGAAATATTCTCCATGAAATCAAAAGGGTTTTCTGCTTGAAAGACCTGAAAGCAAACTTTATTAAATTGGAGTTCCTGAAATGACAACATGATGCTCCTATGAATTCCCACATGAATAATCCACAAAATGATGTTACTTACCTGTAACTGTGGGTTCTTCGAGATGGGTGATCCTCATGTGTATTCCACACATGGGTACACGTGTGCTCCATGTGCCTGAAACTGGAGATCTGTAGCAAGTAGTGTCCGTTGGTCCATGCATGCACAGTTGCTCTCCTTGTGCTTCAAACCGAGGGTGGTATGGACAGACACCTTTCCAGTTCCTTCTCTTACCATGAATTAGATAACATCTGAAGCAGAGGGGAAGGAGAGCGGGTACTGAAATGCAGATAGGGACCACACATCTCAAAGAACCTCCAGTTAAAGGTAGGTAACTTCCATTTCTTCTTCAAGTGCTGGTCCCTATATATATTCCACACATGAGTGACTGGTAAGCAGTATTCAAACAGGAGGAAAGTGTGAGGATGCAGTTGGTATGGATATCTGTAACACTATTGTGCCCACAGCTGCATCTGCCATGGAAGCCTGGCCTACAGCAAAATGCTTTGTAAAGTTGTGGCTGGATCCCCAGGTAGCCGCTTTACAAACGTCCAGCATTGATACAGCTCAAAGAGATGCCACTGAGGTTGCTTGTGCTCTCATAAAGTAGGCCCACATACCCGTCTGGGTGAGTTACACGTGCCAACTGATGAGACAGAATAATGCATCCAGAGATCCACTTAATGAGTCACCGGGTCAATAATATTTGTCCTTGTGAGCACTCTGTTATGGCGACAAATATTCTTGGTGTTTTCCCATTCAGTTTCATTCTCTGCAGATAAAAGACCAAGGCCTATTTGACATTCAGGGAGTGCAGTCTTTTTTGTTTGTTTGTTCGCTGAAAACATGAGGTTTTGGGAATAATATTGGTAAGTGAATAAGTTTGTTCATGTGAAACTCTGAAATAAAGACAGACTTTCTCTGTGATATATGGTGTACGGCGGGTCAGCCATGAGAGCGCCCCGTTCATTCACCCGTCTGGCTCACTTGATGGCAAATAAGAAGGCAACCTTCATGGAAAGGCGTGACATGGAACATATGACCATCATTTTGAAGGTAAGAGCTGAGTACCAAGCTGAGGTCCCATGTACTGTGGGTACTGTCACTGGTGGGAAGGTCCTAATGAGTCCTTTGAGGAATCAAATTGTGGCAGGGTGAGTAAAGATAATGTGGCTTTTCACTGGATGAGGGAAGGCACTGACTGCTGCCAGGTGGACTTTTAGCTAGCCAATGTAAAACCCTGACATCTTGAGGGACTGGAGATAGTCTAAAATGGCAGTGATACCTGCCAATTCTGGTGAACGCTGTTTTCATTGTGACTAGATAAAGAAATGCCTCCATTTAGCTAGAGAGCATTTTCTAGTGGAGATTTTTCTGCTGCGATTGAGAATAGTTCAGATGGCCTCTGAATATGAACGTTTTAGGTATGATGATCCAAATACCAGGCCATGAGATGAAGAGGGTCTGGGTTGCAATCTCTGATCCTGCCCTTCTCCTGATCCAGAAAAGATCGTATATAGGTAGGAGGATGGGATGACGTTCATAGGAAGTCCAGAAGCAAAAATGTCTGGGCCAATTGGATACGATGAGGATAACCTTGGCCCTGTTGTGGCAAATTTTCTATAGAACCTGAGGTAGTGGGGGATGGGAGGAAAGACGTACCTTAGATGGTCAGTCCAGGATAACAGAAGGGCATCACCCTTGGAGTCTCAGCCTAATGTTGCTCTGCAACTGTAGAGATTGAATTTCTTGTTTGTCTGGGAAACAGGTCCCAGTATGGTGTTTCCCACTGGGTGAAGATTTCAGTCAAGACTGAATTGTGTATTTCTCACTCACGATCTGCAGAGAAGTGCCTGCTGAGATTTTCTGCCAGTCTTCTGCACACCTGGTAAGTATGTCACCAACAGCAAGATGCTCTTCTTGATGCACCAGTCTCATAAATTCACTGCCTCTATACACAGAGGAAGAGATCTTACTCCAGCCTGTTTGTTTACACAAAGGACGGTCAATCATGTTGTCTGACATTAGCTGGATATGACGGAACCATATGAGAGGGAGGAATGCATTACAGGCAAGGTGAACTGCCCTCCTCTCCAGTACATTTATATGCATTCTGGCCTCACATGGGAACTATGTGCATTGTGACTGTACATGGTGGCTCCCCATCTTATGAGGGATGCCTCTATGATTATGGTTGCGTCCAGTATGGGTGGAAGAAAGGGGATTCCCACTCACATCTAGTCCGGTTTTGTCCACCATACAAGAAAGGCTCTGACCTTTACAGTATTGTTATCCTGGTATTCATGTTGTCCTTGTCCGGTGAATAAACAGACCAAAACCAGGCCTGCAGGCAACAGAGATGGAGTCTAGCGAATGATGTTAAATACACTCATGCAGCCATGCGGCTTAGTAGGGAAAAACACACTCCTCAATGTAGTGTGAGGTCTAAGAGTGACTGCTCATGGCCTCAAATCTGTTTAAAGGGAGATAGCCTTTACTGAGGACGAGTCTAAGGTCAGTCCTATGAATTCTACAGTGTTTGTGGGAGTGAAATTTTCTTTATTTATACAGACCCCCAATGTCATCAGAAATGGAGCAAGGACAGGGTTGCCAACTGGGCTTCCTGGCTTGTTCAGCATGTTACTAGCCAGTCATGCAGATATGGGAAGATGGCATAGCTGTTGTGCCTCATCTGGGCCACCACTGAGAAGACTTTCGTAAAGACCTTGGGTGCGGTCACCAGCCCATATGGGAGTACTCTAAACTGGTAGTGCTCTTGTCCTACCATGAATCTTAGAAAGCTTCTGTGGTACCAGTGAATATCCACATGAAAAGTAAATATCTTTCATGTTGAGGGCTGCAAACTATGCGTTCTTCTCCAGAGAGGGAATTATTGATGCCAGTATTACCATGTGAATTTTGACTTGTGAATAAAGACATTTAATTGGCATAGATCAAGAATTGGTCTCCATCCTCCATATTTCTTGGGAACTATGAAATATGAGGAGTAGACCCTCTTCCCTCGATGTTGGGATGGCACCTGTTCTATGGTGCCTCTCTGAAAGACAAAATTCACCTCCTGATGAAGGATCTTCTCGCGAGAGTGGTCCCTGAGAAGATGATTTGTGATAGGGAGGTGAGACAAACTATATTGCGTAACTGGCATAGATGATCTCTAATACCCACTTGTTTGTTGTTATTGCCCTCCAGTTGTGTTTGAAGTGGGTAGCAGCCGCCAAATGTCTGCGGGGCAGTACGGCATGGCATCAATATCAGCATGTGATTCTCAATGAAACTCTTGGATAATGGGTGAGGGTAGACAGTGGTTGCAGAGTCAGAGGAAGTTGTATACCTGGATCTTTGAACCTTCTGTCATTTGTGAGGTGATTTGTGAGGGCACTGGTGATAAAGTGCTGGGGGGGGGGGGAAGGTTTGGGGCTGTAGGTTTGCTTGTGGTGCTCTCTCTTCAGGGCCAGGGTATAAATCTCCAGGAAGCAGAGAGTTGTTCTAGAGTCCTTAAGAGAGCATAGTGTAGCTATAGGGCTAACCTGCTGACTCATTGCTCTTCTTATTGAAGAGATTATACTCAAAAGGCAAATCCTCAGTGGTATTCTGGACCTCTGTGGAGAACTAAGATGAGCTAAACCATGATTCGTGCCTCATGACTGGCTGGGGTGATGGGTCTAGATAAGTGGTCCCCAAACTTTTCAGGGTCATGCCTCCCTTACCCGTCTGTGCCCCAACCCCAGAGCCAGGAGCGGTTCTGTCCGGGCTTGTCTCCCTTGGGGAGAAGGGTCCCCTGGAGCACTCAATTTATCCGATGAAAAGGTGGGCTCCTGTTCTACCCGTGGTGCCAGCGGCACCAATGGAAGAATTCTCTAACTTGTGGATGCAGTGGGGGACGATCCTCTTTTCCTCAAGGTGTTTTTTCCTGACACTGAAATGTCTCTAAAAAGGACCAGGCCCAACAGCAGAGGAGATTATGAATAGAGCTGAGCAAAAATATGTTCCAGAGAGGTAAAGGTTTCAGTTCTTCCTGGAGTTCAAGGAGTCCCTGAGGTGGGGACCAATGGATCTGGGGCCGGGCCTCCAATACTCTTGAACTCAGAGTGTGCCGGAATCACTGACTCCCAGGTGTACAGTGTAAAGCTCTCAGACACGGCCAATCTGTCCCGGGGGAAGGAGTTGAAACCAGAACTGTTAGATCCTTCTTCCTTTGCACCTTTCCTTCTTGGACAGGTTTGTGCAGACTTAATCCCTAAGGACGAGCGAATGAGGACTTACCTGACTTAGACCAACACGGGAAGGGATCCTTTTTCATAGAGGCAAATCTGGATAGAGATCTCTCCTTATGCCTATACTTATGTTCCCTACTCTTATGAGAAGTTTATTAGGCTTAATTTTTTCAACCCCTAGTCCAGAGCTTGTACTCAGCAGGGGCACAACTCGCAACAAGGCCACTATACCGAGGTTCTCCCCAGCCTGCATCTGACTGGGGTCTTATGGCCAGCTCCATGAGATGCTTCCACAGATGGAGGTCTCATCCCTCACAGGTTTGAGTGAGCCTCCCCAAGTCAGTAAAGGAAGCGCTAGTGTTCATTGATGAAGCAGAAGGAACCAGGGCGGGAGATACAGTTCTTAAACTCTGGGACTCTTGGCATAGTCCTTTTCCACGGGGAGAAGCTCCGGAGAACTAAACAAATTATACTAGCTATGAAAATACTAACACACTTAAACACTAGGTCTAAACTTACTAAAAACTATTTACAATATATAATTACAGATATTGTAAGTAGAGGAAGATCAATGCGGACACAAAGAAGTCAAACCAGGCAGTGGTAAGAAGGAATTGGAGAGGCATTGGTCCATGCCACCCTTTATGCCCTCAGTTTGAAGCATGAGGAGAGCAACTGCAAATGTGAGGACCAACAGACGTTACTTACTACAAATCTCCCATCTCAGGCGCTGGAAGCACATGCGTGCCCATGTATGGAATTCACATAGGGACCAGCACTCGAAGCAGAAGCACCCACTTACTGGTAACATGCCTTGGTAAATATAAAGCAGGAATTCTCCAGCTTCTCATAGGTAATATCTAGACTGGTTCTCCCCTCCTCAACCCACCAACCCTGGCAACCAGCACTCAGCAAGGGAGCATGAAATATCTCAGGAAACAAGATATTAGAATAGACTTGGCTCTCACTCCACTAAAGCAGTGCAATATAAACGTTTACTTTTCACACCCTGAGAGAGCCACTCTACCCTATATATTGATTAATGTTTTTTTACTTGGGGTTTGTACCATGAATGCATCCAGCACAAAAAACTCTACGCAACTCTTAACTTATTTTCAAAGGTTCACTTCTTTCTGTGTGTAATTAAAGGATTTATCCTCAGGAAGTTCTCCTGTCAGCATTATTAATAGATCTGTTTTCCTCAGAGTAACAGTATTTTTCAAAGGTCACTTGCTTCCATCTAAGCAAATTCAGCGTTATATTGACCACCCAAGAGATGGGCATGGTAATCTGTTAACCTTGTGCAATGAATATAAACGATTCTACTTCATTATAGCCTCGTAGAATCAGAACACCTGAATGCAACACACACTTCCAATTAAATCCAAGTAGTACTTACAGGGCAACCCTGGCCAGAGAAACAATGGTTTCATCTGTTTCAAATAATGAAATCTGTATATTGACATTGTTCTCTGTGTGAGATACAGCAGAACGCATAAGTACAGCATGGGTGCGATACCCACACCTGTGGTAAATTAGTGCAGCACACAAACAACTTTGCTTGGCCATTTTAACAGGCCAATATTTCTTGGAAGTGTCATCTCTCTCAACTTTCTTACCTTAGAGAACCCAAGTTCTGTCAGTAACCGGTCTGCCACAAATTCAATATACCGTTTCATCAAAGTGCAATTCATTCCAATCAGCCCTACTGGTAAAGCCTCTGTTAAAAACTCCTGGAGTAAAACACAACAGTGACATTTAAAGAAGGGACAGTGCAACTTAAGGGGAACAAATAGTATTTACTTGGTGGTGGTATATCGTTTGTGATGTTTCTATGAAATCAGACCCAGAGGTTGTTTACAACTTAAATAACTTGCATCACAAGAAACACAGCAAATGTCTCCTGTTTTGATCAGCTCTTTGCAACTTTCTATGTTTAATATTTATTTTGTGAAAGAGTCAGTGAGAATTTTCACTGGTGTTTTTACTATGTGACGGATCCAATTCTCACTAACAATCAATGCAAGTTTTGCCGTTGAATTCAAGGGGAGCCGGATCAGATCCTATGTGTAGCAACAACAACAAAAAAAATCTTACCTGTAAGTAAATGTGACTGAACATGAAAGAGAAAAATCCACCTGTGGTGGCGTTAGCTTTTACTAATCACTTGGCTAGTACTGTCAAAAATCATCTCTGCCTTCTATTCTGTGACAAGCAAGAGTACCAAGAGATTGATTGTAGGTGGTGTTTTGGAATTTTACAGTGATTCACATGTGTGGACCAGTCATTTATTAGGAATTCCGGAAATTCTACTACAGCATCACCTTCTTTACGCATGAAAAACCTCTTGTGCCATCAGTGACACTGTACCGATCAGTCTTGTCTGCTCACCTGCTCAATTTCAACTGCATTAACAATGATCTCCTTGACCCTCTCTTCTGAAGGCTTGTTTACTAAATAATGAAATATTAGGCAAGCAAAGTCACAGTGCAGACCCTGAAATACAAAAGAATGAAAGAAGTTTAGTTTCTCCTGCCCCTCATGATTTGCTATTTAAAGCCTTGTACTGATAATTGTCTCTCTGAGAGGAATAAGCTTCCTAACTTGCTGCTTCATGGCAATCAGGGTGGATAAAAATCAATGATTTAAAAAAAAAAAAAAATCAAAAATCGGTTTTTATTTAAATCGGATTTTTTTGATAAAATGCTTTTTGAGGAAAAAACCTATCTAAAGATAGTTTTAATTAAGATACATTATAGCTCAAAGATATCTCATCATGGAATAGAGATTATAAATTCTAATTCTATACTATGAGACAATATATTCATGTAATGTTTAAGAAAAGGTTTGTAAATGAGTTCCAATAGTTCATGGAATAGGGACCCAATCTTATGGAGTTCCAAGGGCTTCTGTATATATTATTTAGGTTAATCTTTCTATCTACCCAATGGGACTCAGTGCTCAGTCTAGAACAGTGGTCTCCAAAGTGGGGTGTGTGCACTCCAGGGGGTGTGCAAGAGGATCCTTGGGGGTGCACACTAGAAGGGAAAACCTATAATGGCAGAAGGCAGTAAAAGAGACCCAGTTTGGGAATATTTTAATGAAGTTCCGCTACCTGTGAGTAAGACAGGCATGCATGCAAAATACAAACAGTGCAACAAAGAAATGCAAGGCCTGGTTGCCCAAATGAAACATCATGAGAAGTGTTCCTCCTCAGGAGGAAGCTGCGTTGAAGATGATGAAAAGAACATGTCTGAACATGCAGGATCTTCAGGTTGGTAAAGTTTTTTAATTCATACTTCTTTCTTAAGGACGGCCTGTCTTCCTTCTGGACTATTCTTGAATTATCATGTTTGAGCAAAAAATATAGTTGTTACTCTATGATACTATCATTTTAGATGCATTTAAACTGTAGTGTGTACCTTCTAAAAATGAAACCTACATCTATCTCTGAGTTGTGAGGAATATGTATTAAGGTTATAACAACCAACAAGAATGCACTTTTATTTAGAAATCCATGATTAAATCGAGTCTTCCTGACTAGTGATTTAAATCATGATTTAAATCAATTTGATTTAAATCATGATTTAAATCAATTTGATTTAAATCAAATCCACCCTGATGGCAACGTTGATGTAATTGTATTTCTCAAAACTTAAAAGGGCACTCATTTATACTGGACAGAAATCATGTAATCACGTTATAGCATCAGACATTGGAAGTAGATTTGTGAACACTCATGGTTTCAAGATATTTTAATTATCTTTACAGTAACTCCTCACTTAAAGTCGTTCCGATTACCGTTGTTACGTTGCTGATTAATCAGAGAACATGTTAGTTTGAAGTTGCGCGATGCTCCCTTATAACGTTGTTTGGCGGCCGCCTGCTTTGTCCACCGCTTGCAGAAAGAGCAGCCCATTGCAGCTGGCTCGTGGGGGCTTGGAACCAGGGTGGACTGGCAGACCCCCATCAGCTCCCCACTACCCTAAGATCTCTGTGCGGCAGACACCCAGCAGGCTATCAATTGCCGGCAGTTCAGCTGTCCCTCCCCACCACTGCCATGTGCGCCAACTTTTGGCGGTGCCGGTGGGTGCTCAACTCTCCTCTGCCACCGGCACCGACTCCACCCCTGCCCCGCCCCCATTCCAACACCTTCCCCAAAGTCCCCACTCCAACTCTGCCCCCTCCCTGCCCCTATTGGACTCCTCCCCAAATCCCTGCCCCAGCCCCGCCTCTTCCCCGAGCGCGCTGCATTCCCCCTCCTTCCCCCTCCCTCCCATCGCTTGCTGCCGCGAAATAGCTGTTTCGCGGCAGGAAGCGCAGGGAGCTTGGGGGGAAGCGGAGCCACGGGGCGCTCAGGGGAGGAGGTGGAGGCGAGCTGGGGTGGGGGGAGAGGAGACAGCTGCCCACCAATTTTTCCCCGTGGGTGCTTCAGCCCCGGAGTACCCAGGGAGTTGGCGCCTATGGCTCCTGCCCTCTGCCTTGGAGCTGCTCCCAGGAATCTCCTGCTTGCTGTGCAGGGGTGGGGAAAGAGGGGTGCTAATGTCAGGGTGTCCCCCTCACCCCTGCTCCTGCACCCCGCTTACCCCATCTCCATAGAGCAGGGGAAGGACATGACAGGGCTCAGGATGGAGGGAGCTTGCTATCAGCAGTTGTTGTCTCAACTTGCTGATCTATTTAAAAAGGCAATGTACTTAGAGTGGGGTCAGTGTACTTAAAAGGGCAATGCGCATCTCTCTCTCTCTCACACACACACACACACACACACACACACACACACACACACAGAGGGTATGTGTCTCTGTCTCTCATGCTGTCTCCCCTCCCTCCATCTGTGCTGCCTTGTAGAATGTGAGGCTACATTAACAACAACGTGTTAACCCTTGAGAGCTCAGCCGAGTGCTAGTTCATCATTCAGCACTAAGGCATTCCCTGGGAAATATTCCACCCTCTGACTCCACCACCTCAACCAAGCTTCACAATCATCATTGCTGTGTACCAGTATTAAATTATTTGTTTAAAACTTATACTGTGTGTGTGTACATGTGATATATATAGTCTTTTGTCTGGTGAAAAAAATTTCCCTAGAACCTACACCCCCCCCATTTACATTAATTCTTATGGGGAAATTAGAATCGCTTAACATCATTTCGCTTAAAGTCGAATTTTTCAGGAACATAACTACAATGTTAAGCGAGAAGTTACTGTATTAAGATTTTTTCCTCCTCTCACGTGCCCTCCAAGCTCTTGCAGAAAGGAGGAGGTTAATTTAACAAAACAAGTTCCATTACTGAGATCAAATCTAAAACTGAAAAATACTTTTTCATGCAACATGCAGTTAAGTGTGTAGGTCTCGTTGCCACAAGATTTCATCAAGGACATTAAGACTCAAAATAGAAGAGGACTGGATAGAATATGGACAATAAGAAAACCCAGAGTGACAACAGTGAAGATTAAAACAAATCAGCCAACCAAGAGTTTTGGAAAAGTTATAAACCCTCATAAGCCAACCTCGAATGGGCATTAGAAATAAAATTCCCAGAGTAAAATTTCTTTCTTAACTGCCTGCTGCAGGATTTCTTGCACATTCCTTTGGTTCCACAGTTGCTGCCCACTGTCAGAGAGAGAATACTGCACTAGATGGACCACTAGCCTGAGCCAGTCTGGTACTTCCATTATGTTACCTGATATTTTAGTAGGATTTTGGCTAATTTTTAAAATCTGTGGCTCTCCCGCTTAAAAGAGAATGACTGCTTGTGCATTCCCCAAATAACCATGCATTAGGCGGTGCCCACAATCTGTCTAACCAGATTCATCAGAAAACAATTTACATTTTCTTTTCTTTACAGGATTTTATATTGCTGTTTTATCATTTTAGTTTTGTGCTGAGCCTCTCTCAATACAGATGCCTTGTGCATTTTGTACTTTTATTGCAATAACTACCTATTTAGTTACAATTATGCCATTGGAAATTGAACTGGAAAACTGGGGGGGTTTTTGGTGCTGAATGACATGCCACAAAAGGGCAGTTAGACTTATTGTATTTAGCATCCTACATCACATTAACCTGAAAGTGAGTTTTATAGAAAACTTCTGCTGAAAACCACACACATATTGATTGCATGAAAAAGGTTACAATGACTTCTAGGAATAGAAAATGAAAAAGACGGTTACTTACCTTCTGTAACTGTTGTTCTTCGAGATGTGTTGTTCACGTCCATTCCACATTAGGTGTGCGCGCGCCGCGTGCACGAATCGTCGGAAACTTTTTCCCTCAGCGGCTCCCGTCGGGCCCGCAGGGTCCCCCTTCCCGCCAGAGCGGCGCCCCGCCCTTGCGTATATATATCCCTGCCGGCCCGACCCTCCCTCAGTTCCTTCTTGCCGGTGACTCCGACAGAGGGGAAGGAGGGTGGGAAGTGGAATGGACGTGAACAACACATCTCGAAGAACAACAGTTACAGAAGGTAAGTAACCGTCTTTTCTTCTTCGAGTGCTTGTTCACGTCCATTCCACATTAGGTGACTCGCAAGCTTACCGTTGGAGGAGGGTAGGAGTCAAGGAATAATTGATTGCAGCACCGCCCTGCCGACCACTGCATCATCTCTGGTCTGATGGTGGACCGCGTAGTGGGCTGTGAAGGTATGCACTGACGACCAGGTGGCTGCCTTGCAGATCTCCTGGAGCGGGACCTGTGCCAAGAAGGCCGTCGAGGACGCCTGGGCTCTAGTGGAGTGAGCCCTGATCTGAGGAGCAGGCGTGTTGGCGAGCTCGGAGCACGTACGTATGCAATGCACGATCCACGCCGACAGGCGTTGTGTAGAAATAGGCTGGCCCTTCATGCGCTCCGCAACGGCCACGAACAGCTGAGACGACTTACGGAAAGGCCGGGTACGGTCCAGATAAAAAGCCAATGCCCGCCGAACATCCAGGGTGTGTAGGCTGCGATGGCTTGGGTCCGTATGGGGCTTAGGGAAGAATACCGGTAAACAAATGCCCTGCCCCATGTGAAAATTCGTAACCACCTTTGGGAGGAATTTAGGGTGAGGCCTAAGCTGCACCTTATCTTTATAAAAGATGGTATAAGGGGGCTCCGAGGTGAGGGCCCTCAACTCCGACACCCTCCTAGCCGAGGTAATGGCCACGAGGAACGCGACCTTCCATGAAAGGTGCGTGAGGGAGCAAGAGGCCAGGGGTTCAAAGGGCGGCCCCATAAGCTTAGTGAGGACCAGATTGAGGTTCCACGGGGGTATAGGAGGGCGCGAGTAGGGGAACACCCGCTCCAGACCCTTGAGGAATCGGACCACCGTGGGGTTGGAGAACACGGATCTGCCCGACTCCCCAGGGTGGAACGCCGAAATGGCGGCCAGATGCACCTTAATAGAAGCGGGGGCGAGGCCTTGACGCTTGAGGTGCAGCAAGTAGTCGAGAATCAGTGGTATCGAGGCCTGTAAAGGCTGCGAGTGTTGAGGCGCACACCACAAGGAGAAGCGCTTCCA